GTGTTGGGGTGTGTGTGTGGGGGGGGGGAGTTGTTACTGACAGTTCCTGGTTGGGTGGCACACATTTTGGACCGCCTGCCACAGACACCACCCGCCCGCCCACCGCTTAGGGGGGAGTTGGGGCAGTGGGGGTGCGGGCGCGTGTGGAACAGGAGCCTGTGGATGACTCATACTCCAGCGCGCCGTGGAGCCTGAATCATAAGCGGGGAAGCTTTCAGAGAGCGAGAGAGAGAGAGAGAGAGACCCGCGGAGATGGCCGGGTCACCCCCCCAGCTCCAACGTCCACACAGCCGCATCCTTCTGACCCAAAAGGTCCCCCAGCTCTCGTGACAGACCGGGTGGGGGGGGGGGTTGTGGAGAGATGTCAGCTTCTGGAAGGTAAGCGCAGCGCTTTGGAGGACCGACTTGACGTGGACCCCTCACATCCTCCATGTTTCGTTTCGGGAAGCGGGTTGGGGCTCCGGAGGCGAGGTTTACCGCGGCGGCGGGTGCGGACAAGCTGATAAAGCGGCCATGGCGTTTTTCTGACTGAGGATGTGCAGGGTTCCCATGGCATTCCTGAAGGGGGTGGCCTGGATTGAGGGGTGGGGGACTCTGTCAGATCATGTACGCCCAGCCTCTTGTGCATAATGCCCCCCACCCATCTGATTCACAGGAGAGGTCATCTTTGACATTTTTTTGACAGCTTCGGGGGTGGGGGGCTTTAATCCAGTTGATCTCTGAACGGGGGAGTGCTTGGGAAGGGGGGGGTTGCCATAATTAATCAGCTGATTCCCAGTTCCTGTGATCGTGCGTGCCGATGAAAGGGTGACCTCTGTGCAGAGACGGGGGTCTCGCCCCCTTCAGATGGCAAGACCTTCACAGGGAATGGGGGAGTGGCACTCAGGCATTGCGGGGGGGGGCAGCCTGGCAAACGCTCCCGAGGCAGCACTGATCTCTGTGCGTCCTACAAACCTACGCTGTGCCGATTATGTAAGAATCTCTAAGCAGCGGCATCTGGAGAAATATGTCCCGGCTGCGATGCCCCGCGTGCTCTAGACCACTGGCTTGTCTCATCTTTCGTTCTCTTTCCTTTTCTGCGGGGACCGTTACGGTAAACCTGCATCTTTTTCTCGGTTTCTTCCCGCACCAAGGCGCAATACTCTTCCCCATGTAAACATGACAAATGTATATAGTGGCTGCTTGTTTTGGTAAGACCCGTTCCGGTATCTTAGCATTGAGCCTGAAGCTGGGTTTATAGTTCAGCTGGACGGCTGGAGATGGCACACATGATAGTCATGTAAGCAAAGAGTTAAATTATTTTGGGAATAGTGAGAAGGGGCCCTTTATCACAAGGATGCAGTTGGCAATAATCCGTTACGGGGATGTTCTCTGCCAAATGGAAGGTGCCGGATTGCCTGCCGCCTCGTTAAACAGGAACATGGCTGTGTGTGTAGTTGCTGTTTTCTGAAAGATTGGACTCTCGGGTATTCTTTGGATCTGGGGTTAAAAGGGCCAAATGGTGGGGTCATGTGATCGGGGTCAAAGGTCAGAAGCCAGTATACCATATCTGTGCAGGGTCCTGTCTGACCCAAGCTCAGGTCCCTGTCAGAGACTCGCGTGCACGGCGACCCGGAGGGTCAGAAAGAAAGCAAACCGTCAGAAAGCAGCCACTTCCTCATTTCGGCGTCTGGGTGTCGGGCCCCGAGAGGAACCGTGAGCCAGGCTCATGCCAGCGGAGGTCTGGGGACAAGTGACATGGCTTAGAAACGCGTCCTCGTTTCCCCCCATCGTTGCTGACCGTGATTAGCCGCTTGTGTCACATTTTGCCGCCGGTCAGCTAAGTGTCGCCTGCCCCATCGCTCTTCCGTCTGCACATTTACCTCCTGCTAACGGAAACCTAAATGCACAGACGTGGCCATTTTTAGTAGCCGGGCTCCCAGTATTTCCGAAGATCTTTTCATGGAGGTTGTCTAACTGGAAGGTTGACTATAGGGGGTGGGATGCAAGGTAAAGTGTTGGGGGGCATTTGGATGTGGATATTCCTCAGAGGGACTTGGGATGTTCTGCATACTCTGTAACCCTGTGTTCTGTGTGTGTGTGTGTGTGTGTGTGTGTGTGTGTGTGTGTGTGTGTGTGTGTGGGAGGGATGTCTGTATATTAAAAAGTTGTGATGAGGCCTGTTTCGGCGTAGGAGCAGATTAAGCGTGCCATGTTTCGCCTGGGGACTCCGTGTACCCACCGGACATGGTGGTCACACATGGTGCGGTGGCAGCGTGTAGGTGGTGTGCCACTTGGTGCTGGGTGCATGTCAGGGGAGGGGGGGTATCTGTTAAGCTTCCTCTGGCTGCCTGGGACACAAATAATCAGGGTGACAGGAAGTGGGCCTTCCGGCACATAGGACTTTGTGTGACTCCCACACGGCCTCCATTCTGCTCCTGCACTTGTAATGATACCCCCCACCCCCTTGATGGGACCACACTTAACTTGCTGTAAAACTCCACTCAGGGGGCCCGTCTGGACATGCCAGAGTCACGCCATGCATCTCACTGAATTCCTGAATTCCGGAACAATCTGATGGCAACTGTGATATTCAGCTTAGTCGCTTGTATCTGTTCAGTCTGGTGTGTCCAGCCTTGTGGTTTTGGCAATAAATGTGTAAAAGGCAATGAACATGATTTCTTTGTGTCTAAACTGGCCATAGCTTGTGACTATGTGCCCTGTGATGGACTGGCATCCCGTCCAGGGGGTCCACTGCCTTGTGCTCTATGCATTTTGGGGTAAGCTCCAGGCTCCCTCCGGTCCTATACTGAATAATATCACTGCTCACTGCCACAAGGGCGGCACCACTGAGCGATTTCAAACCTCACCGAACGTGTCTCGCCGTCGTCTCTCCCTGTTCGTATCTGCAGACAGCAGAAGGTGAGGGGGAGAGTGTTTCTCGAGATGAAGAGGAGCAAATTGTGCCTCCTTGTGCTGCAGATGGATGGAATGAGTCACTCAGAGAGACTTGCCTTAAAGGGGAAGAAACGCGAGGCGTTCGGGCAACTGGCCTTCCCGGCCGAGGGCGTCCCTGATTGGTCGGAGAGTGGCCAGGCCGGTGCCCACACTCCGGCCGTCATGTGCCGTTACTTGATGTCCTTGGCGTGAGGCACACTTGTTCGATAGTCATATTTACTCATGGCGGCTTGGAGTTTGTCGGTTTAGCTGATAGTGTGTGACCCCCCCCGAAACTCCACCTATCTCATATGGGTCCTGGAAGAACGAGCCTGTACAGGCTGCCCTGCCTGACCCTCCCATATCCTCCCCCTGTCTAGGCCTTGCTCATGGGAGTTTTGCCTATGTTCGGAGGGCAGAACAAAAAATGATTGGTTCAGAGAGATAACCAGTCATATTGTAGAGGAGGTGAGTTCAAGGAACTAGAGCAGCCAGGACCAAGACATCTGATTGGTTGGTCCCACCTATAGTTGTTTGGACTCACCTCCTGTACAATCTGATTGGTTAGCTCATTGAACCTGTCATTTTTCTTTCTGCCCTCAGAAATGTTTTTGTGTAAGTAAAACTCCCACGAGCCTAGACCTTACCCCTGTGTGACATCCATTTTGCATCACATGGTCTGTTAAAATGTGGCATTTGTTTCACATACATGCCCACCGCCCGTTTTTAATACAAAGCCAGCTGTTCATGTCCAGTAGAATAGCTCCCCCTGTGATTAGTGTGCAGGCCATAGTCTGTTTTCCTTTCTCGCCCATCACTGCAGCCATTTTCACGAGGCTGTGAACAATAGTGTTGATTTGAGTCGTTTCCTATAGAAACCGGACGTGTTTAGAGCGCCCACTAGGGAGGTGTGGCGTAGGTTGTGGTTGAGGATGACTGTGCATGGCACTTCACATCACCCATAAGAGCGTTGTGTGCTTTTGCTTGAGTCCCCGGGGGCCACGTCTGGCCCTATTCGGGTCCCCGGGGGCCACGTCTGGCCCTATTCGGGTCCCCGGGGGCCACGTCTGGCCCTATTCGGGTCCCCGGGGGCCACGTCGGGCCCTTTTCCCACTCCCCGGGGGCCACGTCGGGCCCTATTCGGTCCCTGGGGGCCACGTCGGGCCCTTTTCCCACNGGGGGCCACGTCGGGCCCTTTTCCCACTCCCCGGGGGCCACGTCGGGCCCTATTCGGGTCCCCGGGGGCCACGTCTGGCCCTTTTCCCACTCCCAGGGGCTACGTCGGGCCCTATTTGGGTCCGGGGGCCACGTCTGGCCCTTTTCCCACTCCCAGGGGCTACGTCGGGCCCTATTCGGGTCCCCGGGGGCCACGTCGGGCCCTTTTCCCACTCCCAGGGGCCACGTCGGGTCCTATTTGGGTCCGGGGGCCACGTCGGGCCCTGTTCGGTCCCCGGGGGCCACGTCGGGCCCTGTTCGGTCCCCGGGGGCCACGTCGGGCCCTATTCGGTCCCCGGGGGCCACGTCGAGCCCTCCTCTGATGCCCATGCTGGTTTTGATTTAGGACCTGTCAAGCTTTGAGCTGCACCCTTAGCGCCTCACCCCACCTTGGTCAATTATTTACCCAGATAATGAGCACACACGCCAACTTCCTGCTCATTGGGTGGGGTGGGGGGTGAGATTGTTAAGCAGGTTGATAACTTGACCTTACCTACCTTGATATTTCCGCACACGGCTCTTACAAAGGCACAAATTTATCAGTGAATTGCCATTTCCTGTATATTTATGTTTAAGTGTTGGTTACACAAAATGTTTGGTGGTTTGTGGGGGTTGGGGGTGGTCCCAGATGAGCCCCACTTGATCGACCAATAGGATAGGTTTGTGGGATTGAACGTGCTGAAGCTGAGAGTGGTTTTGTTTGGGGGAGGTCAGAGTTCAGGATCTTGGTGGGGGAGGGTGGTTCCCTAACAGCTGTTAGAGGACCCTGACATGCTTTGTCTGTATATTTTGAGGAGGGGGGTGTCTTTTTGCTGTATGTTTAATTTGTTAATGTTATTATTCCATTTCTTGCCCTCCTCCATGTGCAGTGACAGCTACATCGTGCGCGTCAAGGCAGTGGTCATGACCCGGGACGACTCCAGTGGTGGCTGGCTGGCCCTGGAGGGGGGTGGTCTCAGCCGGGTGGGGGTCTGCAAGGTGCTGCCCTCCGAGCTGATGGGCCGCAGCGACTTCCTCATCCTCGGCGAGCGGCTCAAGGACAAACAGGTGAGCGTGGCGCGGCCAGGACGGCGCCCCCCACAGGCGGGAGCGTGCACTGCCGCTGACCCCAGCTCTTCACACGCATGGCGTCCTTGTAATCCTGGCAGCACGGCGTTTCGCTGCCCGTCCACCGGCGATGGGGCAAGGCTACTCTCCGGATCCTTCCGAGGTTAACTAGTTATCCCTGGAGCTTGACGTGGCTTCGGAAAGCTTGGAGGACTCTGACTGCAAGACTCATAGTCAGACAATTACCCCAAGCACCTCTTTACCTTTGTGCCGTTGTGATGTTGTGTATTCCTTGTTTATCATCATTTATTTTTGTTTGTGTTGGTGGCTCATGGGGGCCAAAGTATCATCACAGGCCCAACCCTAACCCCAACCCCAGGAAGTACATCATTATCGTATTTATTTTTGAATCGCGTCAACTGATTTACCCTGAATGGCTTTTGTCACACGGTGCAGTACGAGTCTCCCAACTTTCTATTTTAGCCATCGGTCTCATTTCCGTTTCGCTCGTTGAACGGGCCAGATAATTAACCGGCTTTGTTTTACGTAAATGGATTAAATAATCCATCCATTCATCCGTTTTCCCACCACTTATCGCGGACAGGATCACGGAGGAGGAGGAGGAGGAGGAGGCGGGGGCCCGTCCCAGGCAGCGTAGGGCATGGGGATGGGGTACATTCTGGGCGGGATGCCAATCCATCACAGGGCACGCACACTCACGCACTGCAGCTAATTCACCAGTTAGCTTAACTGCATGTCTTTGGACTTCAGGAAGAAACTTCCAAAACAGAATATCCCGCACACACTCACACACACACACACACACACACACACACACATACACACTGCAGAGCAGAGGCGGGATTCAAACCCCCAACCCCGGAGGTGTGAAGTCGCCACACCACTCTACTTTAAATAATAGTGTTGGAGAAAGTGGTTCTCACTGTATGGTTCCTGGCATTATAATTTAGCAGCTGGGAGAACTGGTTTCTCCTGCAATGGTGGCTTTGCATTCGTGGCCAGCGCCTCCCATGTCAGCGCCTCCCATGTCAGCGCCTCCCATGTCAGCGCCTCCCATGTCAGCGCCTCCCATGTCAGCGCCTCCCATGTCAGCGGCCCCGTCAGGTTCCACGGGGTTCTCGCCCATCTTACCGGAAGGGCGTCGCTTTAACGTGCGTTAAGACGCCCAGGGCCGCCCGTTGGGTGGACAGGAGGTTGTAGGTTTGAGGTCCGTTTGATGGATGGAGGTGTTTTGTCATGTGCTGTTCCCTCTGTGACATGTAACCCCCCCCCCCCACAACTGCGACAGGTTATTCTGGAGTGTTTCCTCAAGAAGGATCTGATCTACACCAAGGCCACGCCCACGTTTCACCATTGGAAAGTGGACAACAGGAAGTCTGGTCTGACCTTCCAGAGCCCCGCGGATGCCCGCGCCTTCGACAGGGGCGTGAGGAAGGCCATCGCCGACCTCACCGAGGGTAACGTCATGCTTCTTTATCCTCTGCCGCTCCCCCACCCCCCCCAAAGACTGGCTAGCTAGGCGCTGTTTTGCGGTGCTCAGCCTTTTGTTTTGGTGTTTAGCTTCAGCCCACTGAACCCTCACACGGCGTCTGGATCACCGCTGTTCATGGGGTGGTGGAACCCGTCTCTTAAATGTCTGGTTTTCATTTTTAATCATTGAA